GAGGGAGATAAAAAGAAAGAAAAATATGGAGGGAAAGAAAGAAGGAGAGAAGGAAAGAATGATGGAAAGAAGGAGAGAAGGGGGAAGGAGGAAATAAGGGAGGGAAAGTGGGAAAGAAAAAAAGGAAAGGAAAGGAGGGAAAGAAGAAGAGAAGGATAGTAGGAGGGAAAGAAAGAAAAAGATAGAAGAAAAAGGTAAAGAAAGAGAAAGAGAGAGAAGGAAAGAAGCCCCAACACCTGCAGCCACCCCTTTCCCTTCTCTCTTGAGAAAGAGGAGGGAGAGGGGGTGGCCATGGGCCACGTGCCTGATCTCCACTCGGAAATTGGGCTTGCAAGGCCTTCCAGTTCCCTGGACTTAAAGGGAGTCCCTTTAAGTGCAGGGAGCTGGTGGGAAAGGGCCCCCCATCAAGCCCCCCCCCCGTTGCCTACCCCTGCCCCTCAACAAGCCACCACCACCCCCCGCCAGCAAGGCCCTGGGCACCCTGAGTGGGCCAGGGTAACTTACCTTGCTTCTTTTTGCTCCGGTGGCCCAACTGAGGGCTGCTGGGAGCAGGGGGCACAGCCAAGCCAGATTGCAGCTGGAACGCTGTTCCAGTGCGTTTCAGCCCAAAAATAGCCCTGCTCTACACAGCCATGGGTAGTCTCTGTTTGCTACAATGGAGGGCCATGCTGTTACTCCAAAGGCTCGCATCAGAGTTCTGTTGCCAGGTAGTCCTAGCTGTCTACAGTACTTCAAAGGTTAATAACTGAAGGCTCTTCAGTTGTGGGCTTCTCCCTTTCTTCACAGAGGAAAGAACTGGGAGAACAATATTCTCCCCTACCAGATCCCTTTCAGCCAATAGTTGAGTGGAGAGAATAGCAGAAGAGCTCCATCATTTGGTGACTTGTGGTAGTTGTTAGACTATACAGTTAGATTCAGGTGGGTACTTGTGTTGGTCTGAAGCAATAGAATGAAGTTTGAGTCCAGTGGCACCTTTAAGATGAACAAAGTTTAATTTTGGGTATAAGTTTCATGTGCATGTACACTTCTTCAGATATATTGAATAAGAAGTGTTTTTGAGGTATCATTTAGGGAAGTAGCTGATTATTGCTTGCTACTACCCAGATTTTTAAACTACTAGTATTTTTAAAATCCAGACTATATATGCTTGTGTCGATTGTTCCAAACTTTCATATGGAGCCAACATTATAACATATTCATACTAGGAATAAGGCTCATTGTGGAAATAAATACAACAAGATCTAGAAAGAGGCTCTGGGAGAGTGCCAAGGCCTTGGGCACTCAGCATCAATGTGCTGTGGCAACTTCAGCAGGGTATAATGACACAGTCCACCATTTTCTCCAGAGGAACTGATCTCTGCTAGCTGAAGAACAGTTGTAATTTTCAGTGATCACCAGCCCTCAACTGGAGATTGGCAACAATTGTTACCCAGGAGGAAATGGCTGGTTTGGAGGGTGAAGTCTATGGCATTGTAATTGTCTGAGGTCCCACCTCTCCTCAAACCTCACCCTCTCCAGGCTCCACCCCTCAAATCTCCATGAATTTCCCAACCTGGAGTTGGCAACCCTATCTCCTTCCCAGCCAAGCATCAACCTGCCATTATCTGCCCCTCTGATTTCAGCTTTGCTTCTCCTCCCCCCTCCCTCCTGGAGATCAGTTGTAATTCTGAGTGATTTCCACCCCTCTCCTGAGATTGGCAACACTGATTCCCCAGGAGGGAATGGCTGGTTGGGTGGAGTCTATGGCATTGTACCTGTCTGAGGTCCCACCCCTCCTTAAACCTCACCCTCTCCAGGTTCTATCCCTCAAATCTCCAGGAATTTCCCACCTGGAGTTGGCAACCCTATCTTCTTCCCAGCCAACAATCAACCTGTATTTCCTCCTCACTCTTCAGCTTTCCATTTCCCTCCCAAACATACCTGCAGCATCTTCTGTGCTCTGAAGCCCTGACTGCCACAGAGTCCACCATTTTCCATGCTCTGAAGCCCTGACTGTCACAGAGTCCACCATTTTCTCCAGGGGAACTTATATCTGCCATCTGGAGAGCAATTGTAATTCTGAGTTATCTCCAGCCCTCACCTGGAGATTGGTAACAATGGTTTCCCAGGAGGAAAAGTAGTCTTTCTCTGCAAGGGGGACCAAAGCAGCTTACATCATTCTCTTCTCCCCCTTTTGACTTGCACAACAACCCTGTGGGGTAGGTTAGGCTGAAAGTCTGTGTCTGGTCCAAAATCACCG